GGCCTACACACACTACGTACGTTTCATTTCATCTCGAGACATTCTATGAAGGCTAACTGAATTTAAAAATTGTAAATATTTTTAAAAAAATGTTTAATTTGCTGTTAATATTAATGATTACTATTGATAATAAAGTGAGTGATCCCAAAGTGAGTAGATATTTGAGAAAATGTGTTATAAATAAAAGTGTTATAGAAATAAATATATTTTTTAATCTTTAATCTATTTGTTTTTATTCTACTCGTAACCCAATGGAATCCTAATTGTTGACTTTGGATAAATTGGTCTTCCTGAATCTATTCATTTATAATATACAGTATTTTATATTTTATATTAATGCAATCTCCTTTACTCAATTGTTGACAACACTGAATCTATTACAAAAAAAAAAAAAAAAAAAAAAAAGAAACCCTAACACTATAACGGAATGAATTCTGAACAAACAATTTCTCTAGCTCTTCCATTTAAATTACACCCACCTTTATTTCAATTATTTAAAATTTTCAATTTTAGAATACACATAATTTAAATTAAGGCCTATTAGTATTACATTACAATACTATAACAATATTAACAATAATTATGTGATAATGATTAGAATAATAAACAGTACAATTTTTTATATTACTAAACTATAACATAATATAAATAAATTAATAATATTATTAACAATAAATACTATTTTTCTTTTTTATTATTTACAATTTTTAAGTTCATTAACCTTCATGTGTTGTGCCTTGCATATTTTTCTCTCGATGAAATGTAACGTACGTAGTGTGTGTAGGCAAGAAGAATGAGCACGTTTCGTGTATTTGCATTAAAATTTATGGAACATCCGCCCTCCCGCAAATGGGGTAAAATTTGAATATTTTACTAAGTGGAGAAACTACAGGAAACAAACGAACCAGAGCGGCACTTTTATTATTACTATATAGCGCTACCGCGCGGACGGGGTAAAATTGCTCTTCGTGTACCCACATGCCTTTCGAATGGATGTTCCACTATTTTGGGAAGCTGCTCTATCGTCTGCTATTTATTATCTTTCTTGTAGGTCTATTATGAGGGTCACGGTCCGGGTTGAACGCGTTTCTGCAGACGTCATTGCGTTAGAGATACTAAAGGTCAACGAATTACCTTCTGAAGCACGGCGGCAAAACCTGTAAAATATAGTCAATTTTTACCATTTCGGACAACTATCACTTTAAATGTTATTTTTTAATTTTTGCATCCGTGTGGTCCATGTGGTGTTTAGTAGGACCCGCCTTGAGGTTCTATACTAAACACTGCACGACACACACAACACCACACGGATGAAAAAATAATTAAAATATTACCAAACGAGAGTAGAAAAATTCCGAAAAATCAATAAAAAAACAACTTTAAAGTGATAGTGGTCCGAATTATGGTAAAAATTGACTAGTTTTTTTTAAGGGTTTTGCCACCGTGCTTCAGAGGGTAATGCGTTGACCTTGAGTATCTCTAACGCAATGACGTCTGGTTAGAGCTACACCAGTGTAGCCTTGCATGGTAGGCCTAGTCCAAAAGAATTACAGTACTTCTTTTCTACATGACCTACCTGCTGCAGCTACTGATGCAATGGGAACGTAATTTGCCTTTACGAAGTGTGCTACTTCGTCGAAACATATTATTGTTTTGTCTCCATCCATCTTTACGCATCTAACAGACAGTTAAACTCCCTGGTAATACACATCTACAGACTTATATAACTGTTACCAGGATAGGAAGCTGGCTGGTTTAAGCATAGAGAATAGAACAGAAGGAGTAAACATCGACTTTATCGCTTATCTTTAATCCAATTAATTAAACAGTCAGACAGCGTCTATTCTATTTTCTCTATGGTTTAAGCGGTCTGATCCTGCTGCAGACACCGGCAGCGAGACTAACTCAGCCACGCTTTGCCAAGCAGCCACGCTTTGCAAAACGGTAGGTCGGAAGGTAGCGTCGCGTCATTTTGCGTCAAATCATTCAAATTTGCGTCGAGAGAGTGAGACAGAAGTGCTAATGCTATCATTGGACCATAGAGAAAGAAACGGACTGGCTTGGTTAGTAACGTCAGTGGTCTTTTTAGGCTAGGCTAGCAAGCTACATAATAGTGGGGTAGATAAGCACTTTTTTGTTATTGCACTTTGTCACAAAATGACCAAACTTTGGCAGAAACCTTCTTTTGGACCCAACTAACAGTCCTAGATCTAGCACCTAGAAGTGGTGCCCAAAAATCCGAACAACTTAATGACGTCATTTAAGCCACGCCCACTTTGATAATAGGCCTATAAATCGGTAAAATAAGGGGTTGATATAAACATATTAAGTTTATAGTATCAAATTTATCAAATTAAAGCTCATACAATGGACATTGACCCAAATACGCTAAAAATATATGTGAGGTGTCTATAGGCCCATTATGTCATTGGCCGCTCCTCTTTCTAGGCCTAGGCCAACTTGTATGTGAAATTTTAATACAAATCATATTAAAATGTCAAATGTCATGCCAAATTAAAGCTCATGACATGGACATTGCCATAAAGATGACTAGAATGCATTATTTTTCTTAGGGGGTGTCAATAGGTCATTGAGCCCTTGACGTCAACAATAACACAAACATACAGTATTAAAATACAGAGGCATCTATAGGTCACAAAAGGTCATGTACAGTCAAATGAAGCGGCATCTGGAAATACATATTCACAAACATGGAGTGGTATGTTAAAGAAAGTCTCGAAGTTATACCGTGACAATAATGCTCTTGAAACAGACCTAATGTATATATGCCTAACTTATAATAATATTATATATAATATATTTATTATAATAAATGAAATATAAACTAATA